AAAGAATAGAAACAATGGAATAGAAATAGAAAATAATAGTGGAAAAGAAATAGACTAGAGAATGGAATAGAAATAGAATAAAAATAGAATAGAATTAATAGAATAGGAAAGAATAGAAATAGAAGGATTAGAATTAATATAGAATAGAATAGAAAGAATAAGAATAGAAGTGGAATAGAAATGGAGTAGAATTAATAGAGAATAGAATAGAATAACTTTATTTATTCTCACTTTGAATGGGCCCTAATCGGCCTGCATTCAAATAACACGTCAAAAGGTGAAATTCAAATGCCAATAAAACCATTGCAGCTCCTGGAACAGGCCTTGGTGATCGAAGAGCAGCTTCGCCGGGCCGCCTACTTGAACATGACCCAGGACCCCAGCCACCCGGCCATGGCCCTCAACACCCGCTTTGCCGAGGTGGAGTGTCTGGCCGAGAGCCACCAGCACTTGTCCAAGGAGTCTCTGGCCGGCAACAAGCCCGCCAACGCCGTCCTGCACAAGGGTAAGAGGCGGGCGGGTAGGCGGGCGCGGCGAGGACGGTCCACGTGACTCCCCCTTCCCACCCACTACCACAGTCCCCCCCCCCGGCCTCCGTGCGTGATCCTTCTGTATCCCCCTTCTCCTCTGAATCCATTAAAGTGCGGTTGTGCTGAGCAAAGCCACGGTGTGTGGTTGTCTCCTTGGTCCTCCTCTGTGTATCTTTGCTCTCTCTCTTTCTCTCTCTGCTTCCGTCTGTCCGCCGAGTATCCCACAAGTATCTCGGGAGAATTCTCCGTCCTCTCTGGTGTTGTTTTTTTTTGAAGGGCTCTCAAATCTACTCCCCATTTTTGCTCCTTGCTGAATGCCACTCTCCCTCCCGCCCACCAACCCAAAATAACTCTGGAATGAGCAAACTCGGGGTAGAAAACAAAACATATTTATGCTGTCAAACATAAAACAGCCAGAAAGTATCATTGGGTTAGAAACTAGGTGCTTTTGGGATATCTAGCTTGGCGCCCTTCGAGTCTGCCTTGCATCCGTTTCACCGAGTATTGTGAGTTTCACTGTTGTCCCCATCAAAATGTCACGTCTCATATATACTGTGTATATATATATATATACACACGTATGTATATGTATCATCATCATTTAACAACCCCATATTCCCTTGCGGGGTGAAATCTTGGTCAAGTGAATGGAACTGTGTGTTTACTGGCCGGATGCCTTTCCCTGTTGCCAATGCAGAGTTTTGTTCAGCAGATGTATTCTCATTGTGCCCAGAGAGAGAAATATCTGCCTCTACCTAGGCTCGAACTCCTGAGTGTGAGGCAAGAGCTCCACATCTCGGCCACTGCACCACTCTACACACAGACACCCACACACCCACGCATGCGTCATAGATCTAGATACATATCAGCGGCTGCATAAAATTCGGGTGCATTTCTCGAAAATCTCTGATTTTGTTTCCCTGTCAATTTCTCTCGTCAATTTCATCACGTGAGTATCACCTGTGTTTTAGCCTTTGGGGCCTTTAATTCCCTTCCAACAAAACTCCCGGTAGTCCTTGACTTACAACATTCCATTTGGTGACCGTTCCAAGTTACAGCAGCGCGGAGAAAAGGGACTGTTTTTCACACTTACGACCGTTCCCCAGGGTCGTAGTGCTCAAAATTCAAGATTGCTTGCCAACCGACTCACGTTTATGATGGTTGCAGTGTCCCTGGGTGTGTGTGTGTCATGCGATCCGCTTTGGCGAACATCTGGCAGGCAAAGTCAAATGGAGGAAGCCAGATTCACTTAGCGACTGTATTGTATTAACTGAACAACGGCAGGGATTCACTTAACGGCGATTGGCAAGAAAGGAGGTCAAATGGGGCAAAATGTGCTTAACAGATGTCTCGCTTAGCAAGAGGCTCGGTTATGGTCGTAAGTTGAGGCCCGCCTTCTGGCTGCTTGGGGTGACTCCTTACAGCTTGGTGGATGATGGGCTTTTGGGTTCAAGCCTCTTCCCCTGGAACAGCTGGTAGGAAAAACCCTTAGCCAAGGGCTCCATCACTGGTGGTTTTTAAGAAGAGAGTGAACAATCATTTGTCTGGAATGGGATAGGATCTCCTGCTTGAGCAAGGGATTGGACTAGAAGACCTCCAAGGTCCCTTCCAACCCTGTAGTTCTATAGAATATAGAACTGAGATTAATCAGTGGAACTGCCCGCCTCCAGAAGTTGGGGGAGTTCCAACACTGGACGTTTTTAAGAGACTAGAAACACCTGTTTGTCTGACATGGGATCTCCCGCCTGAGCAGGGGGTTGGACTAGAGGACCTCCAAGGTCCCTTCCAACCCTGTAGTTCTATAGAATATAGAACTGAGATTAATCAGTGGAACTGCCCGCCTCCAGAAGTTGGGGGAGTTCCAACACTGGACGTTTTTAAGAGACTAGAAACACCTGTTTGTCTGACATGGGATCTCCCGCCTGAGCAGGGGGTTGGACTAGAGGACCTCCAAGGTCCCAGCTCTATTCCCGATTGAGATTTGGGAAGGAAGGTCGTGTCCAGGGAGTTTTAGCCAGCCAGGAAAGGTCAACTGATGGATTTTGCTTTCTCTTCTGTCTCCTTCTTCTTTTGGGCGGCTGGGCCAGTGCTGAACCAGCTGGAGGAGTTGCTCAGCGACATGAAAGCCGACGTGACNTAATCAACAAATAAAAATAAAATAAAACAAAATGCTTTTCCTTTCTCCGTTTTTATTGTTGTAAGCAGGCTAGAATAATAGCCCTCAGGTGAGATTGGTGGAAATTAAATAAATAAATAAATGTGACATTGATGGAAATTAAATTAAATTATTAATAAATGTAATAAACAAATAAAAATAAAACAAATGCTTTTCCTTTCTCCGTTTTTATTGTTGTAAGCAGGCTAGAATAATAGCCCTCAGGTGAGATTGATGGGAATTAAATTAAATAATTAAAATAAAATAAAATAAAATAAATTCTTTTCATTACTCCGTTTTTATTGTTGTAGGCAGGCTAAGTAAGGTGAGACTGATGGCAAATAAATGTCACAAACAAATGCATGAAAATTCATTTCATTCCTCCACTTTTATTGCTGTAAGCAGCCCAGAGCATACAGGAGCTGCACCGCCAGACAGGATGGCAAATAATTTTAACCAACCGACAAATAAATTTCATTCCAAATTTAAGACTCCTAAAGGCCCCACCACCGCTCAGCATGGAGTCTTAAGCTAGGTAAAGTTCAAACCAATATCTTTAAAAAGAAAGAAAAAAAATGCACAATAAAAACCCAAAATCGTATAAAATTGAATATAACAGGAGCGCATGACACCCCACGCCCGAAGAGCCAAGTTTGCAAGGTTTTGCATAGTCCTTGATTTACGACCGTTCATTTAGCAATGGTTCCAAGTTGTGATAACGCAGGAAAAAGGGACTTAGGACCGGTCCTCCCACTTATGACCGTCGTAGCATTCCTCAAACTTCAGACGCCGGGCAACTGGCATGTGTTTATGACGGTCGCATAAACCGAGGGTGGCAAAAAAGGCTGCAAAAGGGGCCAAAAGCTCCATTAACAACTGTCTCACTTAGCGATGGAAATGTTGGGCTCAATAGTGGTCGTAAGTCGAGGACTGGCCATATCGAGACGTCTACAGAACTGGTGCAGCCTCTTTGTCATGTTTAAGAGATAGTCCTTGACTTATCACCATTGGTTTAGTGACCATTTGAAGTTGCAACGGGCACGGCACTGAAAAAAAGTGACTTAGGGCCGTGTTTCGCATTTACGACCGTCGCAGCGTCCCCGTGGTCAGGTGATCAAAATTCAGGTGGTTGTCAACCACCTATTTACGACGGTCACCGTATCCCAGGGTCACGGGGTCCTTCTGACACGGGAAATCAGTGGGGAAAGTCGGAGTCCCTTAGCGACCGTTATGCGAACGGCAACGATTCGCTTAACAATGGCAGCAAGAAAGGTGGTCAGACAGGCCCAAGCTCGCTAAACGACTGTCTCGCTTAGCGACAGAAACCTGAGGCTCCACTGTGGCTGTACATCGAGGACTAAGCTGTCAACGTGGGCAAAACGCAGTCTTGGTGGGGGGGAAGAATGTGGATTGTTGGAAATGTCACCTGTCCATCAACCTCCTGGGGTTTCTCCGACCGACCGGTGAAGATTTTTCTCCTGTCTCTCTTCCCGGTTAGAACTCCACACCCTCTGGCAGAACGAAGAGCGAGCTGCCATCTCCTCCAGCAAGCTGAACGAAATTTGGCACCGACGACATGATTACTGGCTGCTGGCGGGCATCGTCCTGTATCCTTTGGCTTGAGAAAAAGGGAGTGAGTGAGTGAGTGAGAGAGAGAGAGAGAGAGAGAGAGAGAGAGAGAGTACGCGCACGCGCCCGCAACTTGGGATGAAGATGGAGAACAGACCATGGTGGGGAAATAAGAGGGGACAAGGATACCATCTTGGGAGAGAACTGGGCGACAGCTTGCAAATCACACTGACCCAAAGACACCCAGCCGGCTTTCATGCGTAAGGCGGGACTAGAACTCCCCGTCTCCTGGTGATTGGCTCAGTCACCCAGTCAGCTTTGAAGCATAAGGCACGACTAGAACTCCCTGTCTCCTGGTGATTGGCTCAAAGTCACCTAGTCAGCTTTCAAGCATAAGGCAGGACTAGAATTCCCTGTCTCCTGGTGATTGGCTCAAAGTCACCCAGTCAGCTTTCATGCATAAGGCAGGACTGGAACTCCCGTCTCCTGGTGATTGGCTCAAAGTCACCTAGTCATCTTTCAAGCATAAGGCAAAACTAGAATTCCCCGTCTCCTGGTGATTGGCTCAAAGTCACCTAGTCAGCTTTCAAGCATAAGGCAGGACTAGAATTCCCTGTCTCCTGGTGATTGGCTCAAAGTCACCCAGTCAGCTTTCATGCATAAGGCAGGACTGGAACTCCCGTCTCCTGGTGATTGGCTCAAAGTCACCTAGTCATCTTTCAAGCATAAGGCAAAACTAGAATTCCCCGTCTCCTGGTGATTGGCTCAAAGTCACCTAGTCAGCTTTGAAGCATAAGGCAGGACTAGAACTCCCCGTCTCCTGGTGATTGGCCCAAAGTCTCCCAGTCATCTTTCATTCTTCAGGCAGGACTAGAACTCCCCGTCTCCTGGTGATTGGCCCAAAGTCTCCCAGTCAGCTTTCATGCTTCAGGCAGGACTAGAACTCCCCATCTCCTGGTGATTGGCCCAGAGTCTCCCAATCAGCTTTCATGCTTCAGGCAGGACTAGAACTCCCCATCTCCTGGTGATTGGCCCAGAGTCTCCCAATCAGCTTTCATGCTTCAGGCAGGACTAGAACTCCCCAT